GGGCCCCGCCTCCGGGTGCGCGGGGGCCCCGCGGGATGGGCGGGGGACGGGGTCTCGGGGCCTGGAGACCGAGGCGGAAGGAGCCCGAGCCTGGACGCGCGGTTCAGAGGTTTGACGGGAGCTGTCCTTAGAGTTAGGGGAAAGGGACTGGAGTGAACTCCGAGTCCGCTCCGCTCTCTTCCGGTAGAACCTGACCTCGTTTTCGGCAGATGCAGGAGTCTGATGACGCCACACTCCCCTAGAACCGCTCCCCCCAAGTTGTGCCCCGCATACCAGGGGGCTGGTGGGGGTGGGAGTGGGGGGTGGTGCGCCCAGCAGCGGCGTGGCGGGAGGGAGGGCTTTGTCCTGATGGGACTGGAGGCCACCGGAGGGGCCCGCTTCCGGAAGTGTGGTAGCAGTCATCTCAGGTAGAAACTGTAGTTTAGCTCTAACCCTGCTGTTTGGTTTCCGTACTTATTTGCTTTGTTTAACAATAGAAAGGTTATTTTGATTTTCTGAATTATACAAGTCATCCCATTCGATTAAATACCCTATTGATTATGTGACTCCCCCATTTGTAGTGGTCATACTGGTCTGAGAAAGCACATTTCCCTTTACCTGGGAAGGACAGCACAGTTATCCCAAGGTCAGAGGACTCCCGTTAACGTGTCCCTGTTGACTCGTGCTCCGGAGACCCCAAAACTGTGATTTAAATAACAGGCTTAAGTCTGACCAGGTTCCTCATTCCAGACCGAGGGCTCTAGAGAATGTGTTTCTGTCAGTTCAGGGATCCAGACCCCAAAACTGTAATTTAGACAACATGCTGCTTCTGCTTCTGTAACTGCTTTTTTGCAAATCAGGTTCCTCATTCCAAACCTTGGGATGGAATCAATACCTTTGTGATCTTTGCCTGTATCAGTCTGGTGTTTCGGCCATCTTCTCGCTATGAGATCTGGGAGTCCTTCCTCTGGCTAATTAGACTCAGCTCCGAAGTCCCCTCTTCACTCCCTCAAGGCCCTCCCACCGGGCCTGCCTCCCTGCACTGAGTAGGCGCTCATCATGTTCGATGCTTAAGCAAACGAAGGAGTGGGGGCGGGGTGGACAGTACGCAGGACCAGTCCTGACCCCCAGACGGAAGCCTCGGGCAGCCGTGTCGGGGGGTCACGGGTGGGGAGGTGCACAGGCACCCCCAGACCACCCCACCCGGAGCGCTTGCTGGACGTCAGCCAGGCTGCCTGTGCCACGTGCTCACCCGCGCATCCTCTTCGATATGCAGGTTACGGTGTCTACACCTACCCCAATTCCTTCTTCCGGTACGAAGGGGAATGGAAGGGCGGGAAGACCCACGGTAAGAAGCGGCCACCCTGCAGCCAGCAGCCCCTTTCCTCCGGTTGCTGGGGAGGCGGGCGGCACCAGGTGCCCGCGGGCCTGGGACCCCCACTGTCGCTGTCGCCCAGG